CGTGTAAACGTGTCTCAAATCCACACGTCAGGTCATCCATATAGGCATTCCCTCCTTACATACTTTGCATTCATTCAAGCTAACCTTACCTTAGCACAAGGCAACTAGTTTCCAACCACTTTAGACACCTACTTTTTAATAAAGAATGGCAAACTATAAAAATAAATACAGGAGGGCTGGTAAGTTCAAGCTACAAATTACGATAAAAATTCTAGAATTATTCATTATTAAATATACTATATAATATATCAAAATTATTCATTATATAATAATATATAATAAGATAGATAGTATGCTGTAGATGATACTGCTATGCCGTTCGAAATACAGCAGGCCAAACAGTCATTCATCAACAGAACCGAGTTCTTCCTGATTTTAAATGTTCAAGTAATATGGCCTTAATATGGCCTGTCTCTTCGACCATTTCATTATTGCAGCACATGATCTCAAGAAAACACATGCGCGAATGTCTCTCTTTCTAGGAATAATCATGTTCTCAAAGGCTAAAATGGCGTAATTCTGTTGTTCATTTGCCATTCACTGAAAGGTTATAAAAAATTAGTTTCTATGAAATAAGAAACACAATCGGCTATTGTTCTGTAAATTATACAATAACACTTGCGTTCCTTGATGGAATAATTTTCAGTCTGTCTTTAGTTAGCAGTTAAACAGCATTATTTACAAAATTAAAACTGTTTATGCCAATTTACGTAGGGAAAATCAACACAGATACAGAATGTTGTCTATATATTGAGTTCAAATTGCAATGGAGCCCGTCTGCAACACTTCTCAATTTTGAGATAAATCCTAATTCTAGCCGGAGCATGCCACAGCCCTGAAAGCCCTTTATGCAAATAAATCATATTAATCAAAAAATGTTTGGCTTAAAAAATGTCATTTTGATAATAAGTAAACCTTAACAATTTATTCAAGCCTGCTTTCTCTGAAAAATGAACCTCTTTGGCGGAGGGTACGAATTTTAAGGAAAGTAAAGCCACCACTTACATCTCAAAGGCTTATTCTCCAAGACACGTTCAAGGAATTATAAGAGTGAGTAAGTTTTTCTTTCCCAAAAGTTCTAGAGGTGATACGTTGATCTCGCACGTCCACCAGCGACCCAGCGGTAAAATCGCTGAACACTGGTGGTTCGGTCCGGGTTCTAATCTCGGCGAAAGAGCTGATTGCATCGACGTTTTCGTGTTTTTCTCCATGTGTAACGTGTATACGAGCCAGTTACTTAGAAAAGCCTCCAAGAAGGCCTCTCTCCTCACGAAAGTATCCCACTCCCCCATCCCTGGCGGATAGCCCTCGAGTGCTTTGCCATAATTAAATAAACCAGACCTACAGACTTGTCTCAGATAAGAGCAAATGCAGACTTTCTAAAATTATGCAATCGAATACCAGGGAGACGAAAATCGTCACTTGTACAGAATCTTAATTATTTTATTAGTTGTTTTATTCATTTATTTTTCTTCATTTTTCGTGACCGCCTTCCGTAGAGCTCCGGCGCTTCTAATTTTAGAAATTAAGCTCAGCACTAGTCACTCCTTCAAATGAATATTTGGGCTAGTGGTCTATCATGAATGGACTTCCGTAGGACTCTTGTCTTCAGATGCTTATTGTCAGTAATTAAAATATACGTTTGTTGATAACTAGAATTTTGTGTTGGTCTAGGATTGACAAACGTGGCAAATGAACCGTGTCATCACAGAGATTCGAATCTTCCAATTGCTAGCTAACCATTTACACCGCAAAAAGAATACTGGGTGAAGGCGGCAACGCCTTACAACTTCAGATGTAGTACAACTTTAAATGAAAAACGTTAGTCAAAATAGCATATTAAGTTTTTTCGAGCATGGTTCACAGAGACACGACCCATATTTCGAGAATCCATGTAATGGTTTCAAACTATAGGTAGCGACTCACGATTCCCGGGGCGTATAAAAATTACTTGAAATCGCAAAAATAGTTTTATTTTTTAATCCTTTTTTTTAAATCAATAACGCTGTAAAGAAACTGCTATATTGTGATAACGTGTAAATACACTGTAATATATATATATATATATATATATATATGTTCTTTTTTTGGCCAACATGCTTCTTCTCCAAAACTGGCAAATTTAATCGTATAATCTGCATCATGCAAATATCAGATGTCCCCAAAACAATATGCGGAGGCTTAGCTGATTACGGCAGAACACACTAGGACTATTTGCCTAATGGAAAGGATGCCTTCGTGTAAAACTTTCTAAGGGCAGCTGGCTCGTATACAGTGAGGAAAACTATGAAAACGCCCGTGCAGCCAGCCCGTTCACTTAAAATTGAAGCCTGGTCGGAACTACGAGTGTTCAGCGATTTTATGGCTCGGCCGCTGGTGGGCCTGCTTTAACAGAGAAGTACCTGGAATATTAAAACTTTGTAATACCTGACCTACACAAATACACATACAGAGTGGCAGATTTATGAGGTGTTAGCCCATCTCACCTGAACTTTTCGGAGCTCCTCCCCCCTGTTAAGGGTATGTTTACTTATTTTCACTTCTTTTACTCGTCTATTCTTTAAATTCGAAGTGATACAGGGGCGCCTTGGAAGTGGGAATTCTTTGGATGTCTTTGGTAGCTATATAACATAAATGCGTTTCAAGGCTGTTCATCAAGTTTTAAAAGAACTTTTTAAAATCAGTTTCATTTTTTAAGGTATTTAGTTATTTTAGTAAACTCCATAAATCTTATAACGAAAACATTCTAATTTTTGATAAATTTCGTCTTTTTAAGTCTAGTGAAGTGTTTTTTCTCAATTATTGGTAAAAACTTTAATTTTTCTTTCACATTTACTGTTATATAATAGCTAAAGAAATGTTGTTATAAAAATTGATTTGCTATTAATAAAAAAATGTTTTTTGTTTGATTAAAAATGTCGAATATTTCTTTGCGTTCTTTCTTCCTTGATTTTTGCAAAATATTTAAATAAAATCTACAGAATCTGTTCTTGTAACAGCGTTTTATTGAAATAAGTTTTCGATAATTTTTGTTACAAGTTATCCGCTGTTTTGTTTGGACTTTTGTCAACTTTGTATTACGATTACCAATTCAAATGACGATATAACAACACTTTTTTCTAACGATTATTATTTTCATTCTTGAATACTTCAAGATACATGGATTCGAATACTTGAAAACTATTCATGTTTTAAAAAATATTAAATACTGGTATTTTTATAAGACAAAATATTAATTAAGTAATAAAGCCGAGGAATTTTATTTATTTATTTAAATCAATGGCTTTTGTCCATTCTACAGCAGTGTATCTACTTTAAGGAAGCATGTGAAATAGGCCGAATTTTTGTAAATTACCATACCTTAAAACTCGACAGTATTAATATAAAAATTAAATATCGAATAATGTAAATGAATCAGTGGGGTTTTTTTTTTTTTTTTTGTCCAAAGGGGGCTTTGTTCCTGAAGGACTATTGTTTTCGTTTTGCGATTTTGCATTGAATCGCTAAAAATGTCCATTTCAGTTTTCAAACTGTTGCCACCAAATGTTAAGAGTCCTGCATTATGTTTGAAGAAATTAAATAATGAAAAATCTGCATAAATGTATGTATATTTCTCGCATTGTGATAAAACAACTGTACATAGAGCGATCGAATTTTGAATGACGTAATCCTCTTACGAATATGGTCATGTGGAAGATAAAATTTGAAATTTGTTTTATGATTGATTTCATATTTTGTAAAACTATAACGAATTTTTGAATAACAAACTCAACGATTTAAAAGCGAGCAGTGGAAACACTCTAAGGGGGGAAAAAAAAACACTTTTTATCACCAGCGCGCGGAACTGTGTATCGGAAATCCTAAAAATATGCTCATTTTAAAATTATTTTGCGACATTGCTATTAAACTGAATTTTATGGTTTAAGTACAACAATGTACGAAAAAAAAAAAAAAAAATCTTAAGCGCTCGAGACTGTATATCGGAAATTCTAAAGGTCTCTCTTTTAAATATTTTGCGATATTGCTGTTGAATTGAATTTTATGGTTTAAGTGCAAAGAACGTGATATTTAATAAATAAAGGTAACACACAAAATGTTTAAAAAAAAACCCGCCCCTTTGGACGTAATTTAAAATCTGAAACCTTTCAGATGTTTTTAAAAAATTAAAATTTTTTGGATAAATTTAACAAGGATTCATGATTAATATAATATGGAGAAAAAAGCAGCACTACAGCTGAATGTTTATTTGTACAAACGCTTTACTTCAAATTAAAAGGGGGGAATAGTTAAATTTTAACATGGCATTTACACACAGTAATACATTCATTTATGCTTATTACCTTTATTTTAAATTACGTGTTCTTAAAAATGTGAAAATAAAACTGAATTATTTGCATAATAAGCCTGATCGGTTTTATAAGCGCAAATACCCACTAAAAGCAAGTTTCTTCAAAAACTAAATTTACATTATTAAGTACTCAATTATTTTTATTATGAATATATCTACCATTTCGGTAATTTTATTTTACATAATTTTTGAAGTTTACCGCTTTATTTCATACGTAATTCCATATTACTTCATGTTATAGTTATTTTGATTTTTAAATAACCATTTCTATGTGAAAACAGAAATACAAAATTTATCACTTTTATTACGAAGTCCTGGAACCGATTCTTCTGATAAAATAAACAGAAAACGAATTTTCTACAGTATGTTAATTTTTAACTGCATGATAATGATTTCTTGCATAACTGTGTCTAATCCATAAATGAAACATTTTTCTCGATAGCAATTAATGTGTAATCAGCTATTCGTAGAAAAGATTAACAATTACATAATAAGAAAAAGTACACTCAAAACTTTCGCTGAAAATGATGAAATTACCGAGATACGCATGACATTTCTAGTTTAAAATATAATAATGAAACAATATAAAGACTTCGAACCCTATGTATTGTATCAGAAATTATTTTTTTAAGGGAAGAAAAAGTTTAGTTACCTTTTTTAGGCTTTTCAGCATCAGGAAAACACATTCGAAACAAGCCGACATCTCTACTAAAGTACCTGACATCTTCGTCAAAATCCTTTTGCGTCGACACTGGTTCTCGCTCTTCGATGTAAGTCCGATTTACTCGAATTTCATACCAATTATCAGTACCAAAAGCTATGGCTAGGCAGGCCACGGCGACTACGGCCGTGATAGTCGCGAACGATAGCGTCACCGCCGAACAAGCCATTATAACGCGGCGTTCCACGAAAGCACTGCTGTAGGCCTAGTAACGTAGATTCCACAGGTAGCAGCCGAGATCAAAGAGAAGTCGCCGAGATTGTTTTTAAAGTTCTTTCGCAGCAGTTTAGAAGACTGAATTCTTCACGTTAGATGTGTAAAAACTGTTCGGCAACAAACAAGTACAAATTGTAAAGAATCACGTAAAAAATCCTGAGATAACAATGCTTTTTTTGTGGATCATGTTGTTCGAAAGTCAAGTTGCTACCTCTCCTCCGACAAGTGTTCCTTAGAACTAAAACAGGAGGTTGGGAGTTTACGCTGCGCACGTCACTCTCGGCCGCCAAACGACTCTGACGTTCAGTAAGCATTCGACTGTAGAAGCTGTCAGAATCTTGTTTCGTACGCCAGGGGCGAAAAATTCCTCGAAGTGGTAAACTTTAATAGGTTATTCGCTATATTTATGGACGCAAGACTGAAATTTTTCGGAAGCATACATTAGGGATGAATAAAAAAAAAGGAATAAAAATTTTAATGTAAAATAAAGGAACAGCAGTATAATAAAATCGGCTTTACTTAAGATAAAGGAATCGACGCTTGAGAAAGAGAATTCAAAATTTCTCACATTTTGGAAAAGTTGGTACTTAAGTAAATTCTCCGTCCTCATAATGTCTTTATGTGTTTATTGTTGCAAGTAATAAATCTGTAATCTTATAAACTTTCAGAAATGCATAGCTTCCGAAAATGTAATGTTCATGAAATTGATTTGGTCATCAGGAAACGGAAAAGTTTATAAACATTAAAAAAAAGGAAATCTTATTATTGGAGCTATTTCTAAAATAACAATTTCTAAACTTTAAGTGAAAAATTAATCAAATTTCTAACAAGATTTTATTTTCGTGCCGGAGTTTCTCATTTTAAACTGTTTGTTTAATCAATTATCACGTGAAGATTACCCGTTTAAAAGATAGCATCACTTCTTCAAAGACACTCTAATATGGAGAAAACCATTAAAGTACCTATGCAGCTAGGCAATTTCATGGAACTTGGGCGCGTGTCATCCATCTGTTATAGAAGTAGATCGTGAAGCAAAAATAGTGAATTGCAGCTGTTAAGTAATATTTTTTATATTACTTAACAGTTAATAATATTATTTTTTTACACCTCTTGTCTGTCCCTTTTTCCAGCTTTGATTAGCCCAAATGATTAGAATATGCTAAATTTCGCAAATTTAACCAGTAACTCTTCGGCAGTTTTTATGTGAAGGGTCAACTTGAACAACTAAATAAAAGTTAACCACTCTCCCGAATATTATTGCTAATGCCTAGTACAATCAATATTATTTTAGTAGTAACATCTGCTGTTAAACTGATTATGGCAAAATATAGGATTTTCTACGCGAGGTGAGTTTTGATGGGGATTTTATTTACATAATATTTGCAGATAAATAAGGAATACTTCCTCAGAAGATCTAATGTCTAGAAACTACGCAAATGGTATTAACTCCGTAAAAAGCTTTTTATCTTTCATGACTGGCAAGCTTAGAGCACAAAAGATAGAATGCGGGAGAAAAACTGTTAAAAAACGGGGAATGGCGTTAAAGCAAAAAATGGAAGGCTTTTCACCAGGAAGCAGATCACATCTTCAGAATGATTAACCACTTTTCGACTTCATTTCTAATTCTTTTATTTATTATTATTATTTTTTTAAATTTTGACTAACAATTTAGAACCTTTTTTAAGGCCAACATATAAAAATATAAATAAAATTCAACCCAGAAACAAATCTACAAAGCGATCAGAATAAAGAATGTCATACACAATTACAAATCAAATAAATAAATAAATAAAATAACATAACATAAAATAATGTTTCAAGCAAAGTTAAAACAAAAGCACATTTTTTATTTAAAAAACATTCTACATTTTTGTCAACTTCTGACTATATTGCTGCTGAGAAATAATAAAAAATATTAAAATTTTCGCATCAAGCGTTGTTTTATACAATGAAGGTCAGAAATAAAATAGCCTTCTAACATTCTATAATAAGTCAGCCGCAAAATTTATAACTTTACTTTCTTACGGACATTACAGTCTGAATGTTCAATAAAATTTAATTCAGTCATAAAGGAATTTTGCAGTAGCATATAAAACGAAAGCCTCTATATAAGTTTGTGGTTTTAATTTTATTCAAGTAATAATATAAGTTTTTGATATTTTTCTGTTTACAAAGAAATTAAAAAAAAAAAAAAAAAAAAAAAAGGAGCTTTTATAAATGGATTTTCTCCTTTTTTTAATTTAGTTTTGATTTCATTCAATAGTAAATTTTTATGAGTTTGAAGCAGTAGATATTATGATTTATGAGGAATCGGCAAATATTTGCATGTTTGAATGGTAGTGTTAGACCTCTAATTCTTAGATTATAAGCTGAAATTTGAAAATCGCTATATTAGTATTTCTTTAACTTAACTTTGTTTTGTTTCTTCTGCCTTCGTATTTCCGCTACAGATTCAAAATTTAGTTATTCTAAAAAAAGACCCTGAGCGAGTGCATTAGATTTTTCTCGCTTCTGTTAGCAATGACGAGATTTTAAAAAGACACCCAAACCTTCATATCACTATTTGAAATTTATGAGTTTCTCTCTTCATTTCTTTTAGTATAAATAAATTCTGCATAATATTTTTATTGCTGTATTTTACTCACTTTACACTAATATTATTGCATAATTTCCTTTTTCAGAAACCAAATTTTAATTTATTGTTAATATTGCATTATCTAGGACAATTGCGAATTTTCGCTAGAAAATTAGTAACAACGTATTAAAACTTCAGAACAATCAAATCATACAATAATATAAACAAATTTAAAGAAACGTTACATTTCAATATTATAGTACTGCTGCCATCTGTAGTAAGATATATGAATTAAATTCATGCAAACTAGAATTCTAAAAGCAATTTCATTTTTGTTACTGCTGCCATCTGTCGATAACATTGAGAGTTACAATAATTTACGTCGTGTTACTTTTGTTGGCAACCAGACCATTACCAGGGCTAGTTCAGCGCTGGCACTGCCGCCCCGGCCGGCAAGATCCACTTAACAGCAGACATCAGGAGAGGCAGAGATTGCGCCGAACGGTAGAAAGCCTAGCCGGCTTAAAGGATTTCGAGGCCCCTTGCAAGAATGTCTGTGTGGCCATCTCCTATATGGCCTCCCTCAAGAAGGATCTCTTTTAAAATTTTACTTCCTGCTTCTTGTTCTGATTATTACATAATTTATATCAGCGATTTCTTTTCGAATACGAAAAACTATAGGTATTTCATTACATCATTACGTAAGTACCATGCAATATTTATTTTATATTAACAGTTCTAAAACTGAGCTTTAATAATAAATAAAAAAAAAAAAAAAAAAAAAAAATGGCAAAGGGTATTAAAATTTACAAAGAAATATTTGCTCAATGTTAATTAAAGTCCATGATTCCAGGGACACAAACCTAAAAATCTAGCATATTTTCAAATAAATTAGAGCTCATTTACAGATTTTAGCATGCAGAAGTTTAAAACACATGGAGATGGGGAGGGGAAGAAAGAGAGAAAGGAACAAGCAAACTCCCATTTTTACATATTTCGTACTATAGTTTTATTTCTATATACTATAATTTTACTCAGCTTATTTTACAACCTTACTTTAGTACTGGCCATATAAAATGCAAAACCATGAAGAACAAGAGATACCAAAGCCATATTTACTGGGCAACGATAAGATATAAAAATGAATTGATAAACATTCTAGCTCCGCTTGGATACGAAAAATCAACAATTTGTGTAGTCACTTTTGCTGGTAATAAATACTGCGACTAATCGGCATTGAAAGGAAAAATATATGTTCTCGGATTATAATCCGAGAACTCTATGCTTCTATAGAGTTTCACATCTTGACAAACTTCATCAAACGTAGCCGCAGGCCACTAATTTGCTATTCACAGCAGTGCAACCTGGAGAGCAATGAAAACTTGCTGAAAGTTACGTGACATATGCAGCCGCACGTTGTCCTGTTACAACTTAACCGCAGGCAAGCCTTTAAGGTAAGGTCTCTAAAACTTCAGTGATATAGCTGGGCTGCTGCATACGCCGGCAGTGGGTATTAGGCAAGTGTGGAAGAAAAACTCAATAGCACTCCCAATCATGACTCCAAGTAACGGACCGTTGTGACAATGTCTAATGTAACAATCGTATGTCTGGTCAGATAGTATAGACAAACTCGAATAATAGCATCGTATAACTGCGGGCAGAGTGCCCGTAGAGTAGGCAGAGTGCCACATAAGCCTGAAGAGTAGGGTCCGCGATGGACATTATTACTATGCGGAAAACATACCCATCTTCTCCTTCGATGGGGAGACAAGGGATAGAATCAGTCCTGCCAGTCGGTCCATCTCTCTTGCACTCATCCACTTTATTTTCTGACCCGTATAAGCTTTATTAAGTACAAGGTGAACTTGATTTCGTCCACGGAACAAGAACACCGTTCCTTAATAAAGATAACACGGCAGTCTCTACAAACAACATTTTTACTCTGTCAAATTCAGAAGCGTTATCGATTGACTTCTTTTCGATAAGGCTTCCACAAAGAAACACTAGAAAAACATAATTCTGATATTTAGAACCGCCTACTGTTTCTAGGTAGCACTATTGGTGTACATCATTTGCATTTCAAACTGAGGTCCATGCATGGTTCAAATGTCAAGCTTATTCGACGTTTCCATCATGATGTTGTATTTTGAATGGACGGCAATGAATGTAGTCCGATTACTTTTTTTAATATTTTTTATCAGTCTGTGTAAGTTTTGTCCGGTACCTTTGTACCTGAGTTACCTAAATAAATGTAGGTACCTAAATTTATTTAGGTAACACAATTACATAATTTCTTAATTAATAAAAATCCCATAATTTTGGTTTTCTTTCTTGAGCTTTTTGAATATTCCTTCGTTCCCCAATATGAATTACTCATTTAAATTCCATTTCTTCCTGTTAGAGTAGCAAATATCTTAACTAAATTCTCAATGCCCAACTCAATACTAGACTTGTGTCCAGACAGCTTCGGCCTGCAGAGCAAATAATCAGTCTTCACATAGATTAGAAACATCGTTTATTCGGTGGTTGGTTCGGCAGGGACCATATGGTACTGTCACGTCTGCCCCAAGGCTGTGGGGACGTTACATCGTAGATACGTCGGTCGTTCGAGGGGTTGGGCTCCTCTCGGTCGATGCTTGTTTCTTGTAAAAATTTCTACTTGTCTAGTACAGTCAGTTGAGAGGAGTTGTGACCCTCTCTTCTGATCAATCTCGTTAATACGAAGCT